ATAGCGTTCAGAGAATTGGGAAAACATAAGAAATGAGGACAAAAAAGTTGAGAGAATTAAAAATATAAGAAATGAGGATACAAATAAGGTTTCAGAGAATCAAAAACATAAGAAATCGAGGATAATAACAAGGTTGAGAGAATCAGAAACATAAGAAATGAGGATAATAAATATGTTGAGAGAGAAAACATACGAAATCGAGGGATAAGAGAATCAGAAAAAAGAAATGACAATAAATAAGGTTGAGAGAATCAGAAAGCAAAACGAGGATAATAAAATAAGGTTGAGAGGAAACAAACGAAATCGAGGATAAAAATAGGTTTGAGAGAATCAGAAAACAAAAGAAATCGAGGATAATAAATAAGGTTGAGAGAATCAGAAACATAAGAAATCGAGGATACAAACAAGGCTGAGAGAATCAGAAAGCAAACGAAATCGAGGATAATAAATAAGGTTGGAGAGAATCAGAAAGCAAACGAAATGAGGATAATAAATAAGGTTGAGAGAATTCAGAAAGCAAAATGAAATCGAGATAATAAATAAGGTTGAGAGAATCAGAAACAAACGAAATCGAGGATAATAAATAAGGTTGAGAGAATCAGAAAATATAAGAAATGAGGATAACAAATAAGTGTTGAGAGAATCAGAAAACATAAGAAATGAGGATAATAAAAAGGAGAGAGCCAGAGAAACGAAATGAGGATAATAATAAGTTTGGAGGACCAAAAACATAAGAATCGGGAGGAAATAAAGGTTCAGAGAATCAGAAAACATAAGAAATGAGGATAATAAATAAGGTTGAGAGAATCAGAAAACATACGAAATGAGGATAATAAATAGGTTCAGAGAATCAGAACATAAGAAATCGAGGATAATAAATAAGGTTCAGAAATCAGAAACATAAGAAATCGAGGATAATAAATAAGGTTCAGAGAATCATGAAACATAAGAAATCGAGGATAATAAATAAGGTTCAGAAATCAGAAAACACAAGAAATGAGGATACAAATAAGGTTCAGAGAATCAGAAAACAAACGAAATGAGGATAATAAATAAGGTTGAGAGAATCAGAAAACAAAAGAAATCGAGGAGGATAAATAAGGTTGAGAGAAATTAGAAAGCAAACGAAAATGAGGATAATAAACAAAGGTTGAGAGAATCAGAAAGCAAACGAAATTGAGGATATAAATAAGGTTGAGAGAATCAGAAAACAAACGAAATGAGGATACAAATAAGGGTTGAGAGAATCAGAAAACAAAAAATGAGGATACAATAAGGTTGAGAGAATTAGAAAGCAAACGAAATGAGGATACAAATAAGGTTGAGAGAACAAAAGCAAATGAGAATGAGGATAATAAATAAGGTTGAGAGAATTAGAAAAAAACGAAATGAAGATACTAAATAAGGTTGAGAGAATCAGAAAATAAACGAAATGAGGATAAAAAGGTTGAGAGAATCAGAAACATACGAAATGAGAATACAAAATAAGGAGAGAATTCAGAAAACAAACGAAATGAGGAACAAATAAGCGAGAGAATGAAAACATATGAAATCGGAGGATACACAAGGTTGAGAGAATTGTGAAAAACATAAGAAATGAGGACAATAAATAGGGAGAGAATCAGAAATCAAACGAAATCGAGGATAATAAATAAGGTTGAGAATCAGAAAATATACGGTAAAATCGAGAATACAAAAAGTTGCTGAGAGAATCAGAAAGCAAACGAAATTGAGGATACAAAATAAGGTTCAGAGAATCAGAGCAAATGAAATGAGGATACAAATAAGGTTGACAGAATCAGAAACAAAAGAAATGAGGATAATAAATAAGTTGGAGAGAATTGAGAAAACAAAAGAGACGAGGAGGCACAAAGAACAGAAAGAGAATTAAATAAAGACAATGCAAACGAATGAGGACAAGAAATAAGGTTGAGAGAATCAGAAAATACGAAATTGGAGGACAATAAATGTTGAGAGAATTAGAAACACAATGAAATGAGAGATAAATAAACAAGGTTGGAGAGAATTGTAGCAAATGAAATTGAGGATGAAATGAGGAGAACAAAATGAATGAGGAGAATTGAGAAAAAACATAAGAAATGAGGATACAAACAAGTTTGGAGAGAATTGTGAAAAATAAGAAATGAGGATAATAAATAAGGTTGAGAGAATCAGAAACAACGAAATGAGAAGAAATGAGGGAGAATCAAACAACGAAATCGAGGATAATTCTGAGAGAATCAGAAAGCAAAAGAAATCGAGGATAATAAATAAAGGTTGAGAGAATCAGAAACAAAAGAAATCGGAGGATAATAAATAAGGTTCAGAGAATCAGAAAACATAAGAAATCGAGGATAAAAATAAGGTTCAGAGAACTGAAAACAAACGAAATGGAGGATACAAATAAGGTTCAGAGTGAAATCATAAAACTAAATAAGGAAGGAAATTAGCAAATGAAATCGAGGATAATAAATAAGGTTGAGACAGAAACAAATGAAACTGAGGATAATAAATAAGGTTGGAGAGAATTGGGGAAAACAAAAGAAATCGAGGATACAAAGGCGTTGAGAGAATCAGAAAGCAACGAAATGAGGATACAATAAGGAGAGAATCAGAAATATACGAAATGAGGATAATAAATAAGGTTGAGAGAATCAGAATGTGCAAATGAAATGAGGGGATAAAAATAAGGTTGAGAATTGTAGCAAACGAAATTTGAGGATAAATAAGGTTGAGAGAATCAGAAGGCAAAAATGAAATGAGGATAATAAAATAAGTATGAGAGAATACAAGCAACGAAATGAGGATAATAAATAAGGTTCAGAGGAATTGAAAATACATGAAATCGAGGATACAACAAGGTTGAGAGAACAGCAAACAAATCGAGTGATAATAAATAAGCTTGAGAGAATCTCAGAGCAAAACGAAATTGGAGGACAATAAATAAGGTTGAGAGAATCGTAAAAAGCAAAACGAAATCGAGGATAATAAATAAGGTTGAGAGAATCAGAAAAGCAAAACGAAATGAGGATAATAAATAAGGTTGAGAGAATTGAAAAGCAAATGAAAATGAGGATAATAACAAAGGAGAGAATCAGAAATTATATGAAATGAGAAAATAAATAAGGTTGAGAGAATTGTGAAATCATAAGAAATGAGGATATAAATAAGGTTGAGAGAATGAAGAAACATAAGAAATGAGGATACAAATAAAACTAGAAAAAAATTAGAAAACATAAGAAATGAGGATACAAAATAAGTGTTGAGAGAACAGAAAACAAAAGAAATGAGGATACAAATAAGGTTGAGAGAATCAGAAACATATGAAATGAGGATACAAATAAGGCTGAGAGAATTGAAAGAAAAACGAAATGAGGATACAATAAGGTTGAGAGAATCAGAAAAACATACGAAATGAGGAGGATAATAAAAAGGTTGAGAATTCTAAAAAACATAAGAAAATCGAAGATAACAAATAAGGTTGAGAGAATCAGAAAACATAAGAAATCGAGGATAATAAATAAGGTTGAGTAAATCAGAAAACAAAAGAAATTGAGGACAAAAAATATTGAGAGAATCAGAAAACATAAGAAATCGAGTATAATAAATAAGTTTGAGAGAATTAAGAAAACAAATGAAATCGAGGATAATAAATAAGGTTGGAGAGAATCAGAAAACAAAACGAAATGAGGATAATAAATAAGGTTCAGAGAATCAAAACAAAAGAAATGAGGATAATAAATAAGGAGAGAATCAGAAACATAAGAAATCGAGGATACAAATAAGGTTGGAGAAAATTGCAAAACATACGAAATGAGGATACAATAAGTTGAGAGAATCAGAAAGCAATGGAAATGAGATAAAAATAAGAAGAGAGAATCAGAAAGCAAAATGAAATGAGATAATAAATAAGGTTAGAATTGGGGGAGATAATGAGAGAATGCAAACGAAATGAGGATAATAAATAAGGTTGAGAATACAAAGCAAATGAAATGAGGATACAAATAAGTGAGAGAATTGGAATGCAAAAGGAAATGAGGATACAAATAAGGTTGAGGAAATCAGAAAACATACGAAAAGGAAAATGAGGCTGAGAGAATTAAAAACATACGAAATGAGATACAATAAATATGAGAGAATACAGCAAACGAAATGAGGACACAAAATAAGAAGGAGAGAATCAGAAAACAAAGAAATGAGGATACAAATATGTTTCAGAGAATCAGAAACAAACGAAATGAGGACATACAAATAAGGTTGAGAGAATCAGAAAGCAAAAGGAAATCGAGGATAATAAAGGTTGAGAGAATTAGAAAGCAACGAAATGAGGATGGGTTAAATAAGGGGTTGAGAGAATTTGAAAGCAAAACGAAAATTGAGGATAACAAATAAGGTTGAGAGAATTCAGAAAACATACGAAATGAGGATAACAAATAAGGTTCAGAGAATCAGAAAAACATAAGAAACGAGGATAATAAATAAGGTTGAGAAAATTGTAGATAATAAAAATCAGAGAACTAAAAATGAGGATAATAAATAAGGTTCAGAGAATTCAGAAAACATATGAAATGAGGATAAAAAATAAGGTTGAGAGAATCAGAAAGCAAACGAAATGAGGATAAAAAATAAGGTTGAGAGAATCAAGAATGCAAATGAAATGAGAAATAATAAATAAGTGTTGAGAGAATCATGAAAAAAAGAAATGAGGATAATAAATAAGCGTTGAGAGAATCAGAAAAACATAAGAAATTGAGTATAATAAATAAGGTTGAGAGAATCAGAAACAAACGAATCGAGGATAACAAATAAGGTTGAGAGAATCAAAACAACGAAATCGAGGTGATAATAAAATAAGGTTGAGAGAATCAGAAAAACAAACGAAATGGGAGGATAAAAATAGAAGGAGAGAATCGAGAAAGCAAATGAAATCGAGGATAAAAATAATGTTTGAGAGAATCAGAAACAAAGAGAAATGAGGATAATAAATAAGGTTGAGAGAATCAGAGAATGCAAACAAAGAGAAAATAAGAATCGAGGATAATAAAAATCGAGGTTGTTGAGAGAATCAGAAAACAAACGAAATGAGGATAATAAATAAGGTTGAGAGAATCAGAAAGCAAATGAAATGAGGATACAAATACGCTTGAGAGAATCAGAAAACATAAGAAATGAGGATAATAAATAAGGTTGAGAGAATCAGAAATCAAATGAAATGAGGATAATAAATAAGGTTGAGAGAAAGAAAAACGAAATGAGGAGAACAAATAATGGTCAGAAACATGGAGAAGAAAACATAAGAAATGAGGATACAACAGCTCAGAGAAGAGAAACATAAGAACAAATACAAACAGAGAATCAGAAAAGGAATGAAATACAAATAAGGTTGGAGAGAATGAGGAAAGAGAATTGGGAAAAATAAATCGAGGATAATAAATAAGGTTGGAGAGAATCAGAAAACAAATGAAATTGAGAGAATCAGAAAACATAAGAAATAAATAAGGTTGAGAGAATTGTAGAAAACAAAAAGGAAACGAAATGAGGATAAAAACATAAGAAATTGAGAGAATAAGGAAATTCAAAATCAGAAAACATAAGAATGAGGAAATAAGGTTGAAAGAATCAAAATATACGAAATCGAGGATAATAAATAAGGTTGAGAGAACAGAAAACATAAGAATGAGGATACAACAAGGTTGGAGAGAATCAGAAACAACGAAATCGAGGATATAAATAAGGTTCAGAGTACAAATAAAAAAAGAAATCGAGATAATAAATAAGGTTGAGAGAATCAGAAAACATACGAAATCGAGGATAATAAATAAGGAGAGAATCAAAAAAACAATGAGGAAATTGAGGATACATAAAAATTGAGTTGAGAGAATCAGAAAAAATAAAATGAGGATAACAAATATGCTTGAGAGAATTCAGGAAACATAAGAAATCGAGGATACTAACAAGGTTCAGAGAATCAGAAAAATTAAGAAATCGAGGAGGATTCAGAAACATAAGAAAAATAAGGTTCAGAGAATTGTGAAACATAAGAAATCGAGGATAAGCAGAGAACTAAGAAATCGAGGATAACAAATAAGGTTCAGAGAGAATCAGAAACATACGAAATCGGAGGATAATAACAAGGTTGAGAGAATCAGAAAGCAAACGAAACGAGGATAAAAATAAGGTTGAGACAATCAGAAAGCAAAACGAAATCGAGGATAATAAATAAGGTTGAAAGAATCAGAAAGCAAACGGAAATCGAGGATAATAACAATGAGAATTCAGAAAACATAAGAAATCGAGGATAATAAATAAGGTTGAGAGAATCAGAAAGCAACGAAATTTAGGATAATAAAATAAGGTTCAGAGAATCAGAAAATACGAAATCGAGGATAACAAATAAGAAGTTGAGAGAATCAGCAAAATGAAATCGTGGATATAAATAAGTTCAGAGAACTAGAAAACAAACGAAATCGAGGATAATAAATAAGTTTGAAAGAATCAGAAAGCAAACGAAATCGAGGATACAAACTGAGAGAAGTAGAAACATAAGAAATCGAGGATAATAAATAAGGTTCAGAGAATCAGCAAACATAACGAGGATAACAACAAGGTTGAGAGAATCAGAAAAACGGATAATAAATAAGTTGAGAATCAGAAACAACGAAATGAGGATAATAAAACAAGGTTGAGAGAATTGAAAAAACATGAAATCGAGGATAATAAATAACGTTGAGAGAATCAGAAACAAACGAAATGAGGAGAATAGCAAACGAAATTGAGTTGAGAGAGTTGAGAAAACAAACGAAAATGAGGATAATAAAATAAGGCTTAGAGAATCAGAAAGCAAAATGAAATTGAGGATAAACAATGTTGGAGAGAATCAGAAAAACAAACGAATCGAGGAGGATAATAAATAAAAATTGAGAGAATCGAGGAAACAACGAAATGAGGATAAAAATAAGGTTGAGAGAATCAGAAAGCAAACAAATGAGGATAACAATAAAGGTTGAGATCAGAATCAGAAAGCAAATGAAATGAGGATAACGAAATAAGGTTGAGAGAATCAGAAAACAAAAGAAATCGAGGATAATAAATAAGGTTGAGAGAATCCAGAAAACAAAACGAAATCGAGGATACAAATAAGGTTGAGAAATGAGGAATCAGAGAATCAGAAACATAACAGAAATGAGGATAATAAATAAGGTTGGAGAGAACAGAAAGCAAACGAAATGAGGATAATAAATAAGGTTGAGAGACCAGAAAGCAAAACGAAATTCAGGATAACAAAATGTTGAAAGAATCAGAAAGCAAATGGGAGAGAATCAGGAGAGAAGAAAAAATAAGAAACGAGGATAAAAAGGTTTAAATCAGAAACATAAGAAAATTGAGAGAATCAGAAACATTGGAAAAAATACGAAATGAGGATAAAAATTTGGAGAGAATTGTAGCAAACGAAATTGAGGATAATAAATAAGGCTGAGAGAATCAGAAAAATAATATATCGAGGAAATCGAATTGAAATACATAAGAAATGAGGAGAATAAATAAATAAGGAAAATATAAGAAATAGAGAATCAGAGAATCAGAAACGAAATCGAGGATAATAAATAAGTGTTCAGAGAATCAGAAAACATACGAAATCGAGGATAATAAATAAGGTTCAGAGAATCAGAAATAAATCGAGGATAAATGAGGTTCAGAGAAATAAAATAAGAAATTTTGAGGAGAATCAGAAATCAGAAAACTTAAAAATGAGGACAAAACAGAGAATCAGAAACATAAGAAATTTGAGAAATCAAAGAGCAAAACATAAGAAATGAGGACACAATAAGTGTCGAGAATCAGAAACATAAGAAAAATAAATAAGGTTGGAGAGAATCAGAAACAACGAATATGACACAAAATCGAGAGGAAAGCAAACGAAATAAGGTTGAGAGAAAATCAGAAAACAAAATGAAATCGAAGACAATAAAAAGGGTTGAGAGAATCAGAAAACATAAGAATGAGGATAATAAATAGCCCAGAGAATTGAGAAAACACAGAAATGAGGATAATAAGGCTCAGAGAATGAAACATGTTAAATGAGGATAATAAAAAGAAAGCTGAGAGAGAATTTCTCAGAAACTTACGGGAGGAAAATCAAGGTTTCAGAGAATTGAAAACAAAATCGAGCTTAAGAAAATGAGAATTTGAAAACATAAGAAATTGAGGATAATAAATAAGGTTCAGAGAATCAGAAAACATAAGAAATCGAGGATAATAAGTTGAGAATCAGAAAACATAAGAATGAGGATACAAAAAGCAGAAAAAATAAGAAATCGGGAGGATAATAAATAAGGTTGAGAGAATCAGAAAGCAAACGAAATGAGGATAATAAATATGAAGGAGAGAATCAGAAAAAACAGAAATGAGTATACAAAAAGGTTGAGAGAACAGAAGCAAAAAACGAAATGAAGAGAGAATAAATATGAAGGGAGATAATAAATAAAGTTTCCAGAGAATGAAATAAGAATGAGGATAATAAATAGCAAGGAGAGATTGTGAGCAAACGAAATGAGGATACAAATATAAGCTTTAGGAAAAAATAAGAAAGGATACAATAATGAAATGAGTATAAATAAGGTTGGAGAGAATTAGAAACAATACGAAATTTGAGATACAAATAAGTGTGAGAGAATCAGAAAACAGGTGAAATGAGATTGAGGAGAGAACAAAAATAAGGTGGAGAGAATTGAAATCAGAAACATAAAATGAGGATAATATATAAGGTTGAGAGAATTAAAACATACGAAATGAGGATAATAAACAAGTATGAGAGAAAAAAGCAATACGAAATCGAGTGATAATAAATAAGGTTGAGAGAATCAGAAAACAAAATGAATCGAGGATAAAAGTGGTTCAGAATTGAGAGAATCGAGGTAGCAAAACGAATCAGATGATGAAAACATACAAGAAATCGAGGATACAAATAAGAGAGAATTGGAAACAAACGAAATGAGGACAATAAATAAGTGTTGAGAGAATCACAAAAAACGAAATGAGGACAGGTTCAAGAGAAAAAAAGGCAAATGAGATAAATCAGAAAACATACGAATGAGGAGATACAAATAAGGTTGAGAGAATCAGAAAACAAAACGAAATGAGGATAATAAAGGTGTTCAGAGAATAGAAACATAAGAAAGAAAGCCGAAACATAGAGAAAATGAAAGTATGGGCTGAGGATACATATAAGGAGAGAATTCAGAAACAAACGGAAATGAGGATAATAAATATGTTGAGACAGCAAAAATGAGGCAATAAAGAACAGGAGAAAATCAGAAAACATAAGAATGAGGATAATTAAGGTTCAGAGAATCAGAAATACAAATGAAAATCGAGGATAATAAATATGGTTCAAGAGAATCAGAAAAGCAAAGAAAATCGAGGATAATAAATAAGACCAGAGAATCAGAAAACATAAGAAATCGAAACGAATGAGAACTTTCAGGAAACATACGAAATGAGGAGAATTAAGGTCTAGAGAATCAGAAAACACAAGAAATCAGAGGATATAAATAAGGTTGAGAATCAGAAACAGAAACATACAACAAGGGTTCAGAGAATCAGAAACTTAAGAAATCGAGGATAATCAGAGAATCAGAAAACACAAGAAATCGAGGATACAAATTTGAGAGAAAAATCGCCAAGGCTCAGAGAATCAGAAACATAAGAAATGAGGATAAAGGTTCAGAGAATTAGAAACACAGAAATGGAGATAATAAAATGTTCAGAGAAAACAAACGAAACGAGGATAACAAGTTTGAGAGAGAAAAACGAAAAGTATACAAATATGGAGAGAATGAGGATGAAAAAATAAGGTTGGAGAGAATCAGAAAGCAAACGAACTTCGGGAGGATACAATAAGCTGAGAGAATCAGAACAAAGCGAAATGAAATCGAGGATCAAACAAAGAAAACAAAATCGAGGATAATAAATAAGGCTGGGAGAATCAGCAAACGAAATCGAGGATAATAAAATAGAGGCTGATAAGAATCGAGGATAATAAATAAGTGTTCAGAGAATGAAGTATAAGAAATCGAGGATAATAAATAAGGCTGAGAGAGAAAACATACGAAATCGAGGATAATAAATATGTCTAGAACAAAAAAGGCAGAAATACAAATACAAGGAGAGAATCAGAAAAACATAAGAATGAGGATACAAATAAGGTTGAGAGAATTGAAATCAAGCATGAAATGAGGAAAAAACGAGGAAAATTGAGGGATAATAAATAAGGTTGAAAATAAAGCGAATGAGGATAATAAAAAAGGTTGGAGAGAATCAGAAAACAAACGAAATGAGGATACAAATATAGGTTCAGAGAATTCAAGCAAACGAAAAGGATAATAAATAAGGTGAGAGATCAAAAAACAAGAAGGGAGGATCAATAAAGAAGGTTCAGAGAAAGAAAACGAAAGAAATCGAGGATAATAAATAAGGTTGAAAATCA